CCCTACGGGTATATAGTGCAAGCAGCTTCTTAGTACATATACCCCCACGGGTATATAGTGTAACTATCTTGATCAATTTGAAAGCTTGACTTTTTTCAATCATGGAATGAGCTTAAGACTTGTTGACATCATCAAAACCTTGAGATTGAAGTGTGCTTCTACAAAGTTTTGAATACTCTGAAGACTTAAGTTTTTGAAGACTAAGGGTTCTGAAGACTAAGTGCTAAAGATTCTGAAGACAAGATTCTGGTGAACAAGTTCTGAAGACTTAAGACTCTGAAGACCCAGTGATCAAATCTTCTACTCATGCTTCAAACATCTCTATCTAGAAGCCTCTGATGTACAAAAGATAAGATCAAAAATTTACGAGGGAAATAGTACATAGTACATTCAAAACGTTTCATTCCACTATCCTGATTTTATGGTGAAAATGACAACTTTTGTGTATGATTTCCATCCCTACGTAACGACACTTTTTCAAGTCGCTAACTCACTCAAGGATATTCCTGATCTGCCCTCCAACAGATCTTTTATTGGCTATATAAGGACTTAATAACTTGAAGAAAATAGTGAAGTAATACAACAACACAACAACGCAAGAACACAACAACGAAAAATTCATAATGTGTGCAAATTTTCTTTAAGTCTCTTTAAGATATTCATTGTGTTTATATCTTCTTGAGTAGAAGCATTTCATTGTAAGTATTTATCTTTTATAAAATGTTGTTTGTAATTACTTAAGGGATCAGTTAGGTCAGAATCCTCAAGAAGGCTTAGACAATTAGTCTTTGTGGTTGTTAGTCACCAGCGGTTGCTAGTGCAGATTGTAATCAGTTGATTATATTGAATTAATTCCTTGGATATAACGCAAAATCACCTTGGTGGGTGGACTGGATTAGCTTGATAGTTTCAAGTGAACCAGGATATATCGTGTGTCTTTCTCTCTTGTTTAGTTTCTTTGTGATTTCTGTTTGAGTTTCATAAAAAGCTTTCATTTTTGAAAATCCAATTCAAACCCCCATTTCTTGTGTTTTTTTCACACCTTCAGTTTTTTTGTGTTGCTTGAGACTATGACGATGTTTAAATGGTGTAAGATGTTAGGGGTGATTATTGCATATTTAAATATGGGATTCTGGTGTGGGAATGCTTATTTTATGGATTTCATATCGTGTGATTCAATTTATGGGGCATTTGAATCGAATCATGTATAGCTTGAATCGATTCAAGTTGGTATGAGTTACAAATCTATTTATGTGAATAGGATCATGAAGGTTCTTGAAATAATTTATGAATTCATAACTTACTATAACCTTTAATTTTCATGTTCCAAACCTTCAATTAAGTTGGCTAATGACACTTTAAGTTAGCGGACTAATCCTAAACATAATTATCCTTAGATATTAACTTGTAATTAAGATAATGTATGATTAGGAGTTAGTGGATTCAAGTGTGCAAAACATGGTTGGGAGCAAATTGTTGGGAAAAAACAACTAAAGCATAGAGAAAAACAGAGGAACACAATTACAACATAAGAACATAACATGGAAATTTCAAAATTGGGGAAAAATCAAGGTCATTGTCCATAGACAACCAGAGAATAACATTATGTGACTAATTGAACCCCTAATACACTCATACCCTCCAAAGCAAATATTTAACTACATCTCACAACATTTTAATACAAGAGTATAAGAGAATAAAGAAAATCAAATACAACCTTAAAGTGCTTATGACTAGTGCATCTTGGAATTAAGAACTTGAATCCTATATATAGTTTTGGACTCCCTATTCCTTCACAAAACTAAGCAATGTAGGACTTCAAAGAACTTGTATCTTATATATAGTTTTGAACTCTCTTAATTCACAAAACTAAGCGATGTGAGACTTTTTCAACATATATATTTTCAACCATCCCCAACAATTTTTATATTGATTGAAAATAATACATAAGATTTCATTGTCTTCACCGACAATTATATTTTACCATAAAAAATTTCAACATATATATTTTCAACTAATCTTAACACAAGTAAGGTTTACTGTCAACACAAGGAAAGTTTACTCTTAACCAAATAGACATTATACACTTAGGATGAAACTAAGTATTGGTTAGTGGAAATGAACCATGTTATGTAAACCATGGAGGAATACTTAGGTTAATCTTGTGTTAAGACACCTAGGTGAATGACTCCAAATAAATCATAATCGTAATGTAGGATTAAGCGTAACATTGGCGAAGATTTTTGAAAGACATCCTTTGGATGGAAAACCGTTGGTTATTATTTTAGGATGTAATATAATTGGGAAAAATATGATTTCAATAAAAGCTCTGTTTTACCTGATTCAAACACAACCTCGACTTTCTGCTATAAAAGTTAGTATATTTAACCATAAATACACCACAATCAGATGTCAATAACAAACTTTTGTAAATATGGTTCATAGATACAAACATCGGTTCATGAAATTAACCAATTAACATACAATCAAGTTCAGGTGATCAAAAACTGTACAATGGTAACGTTTATTGATGAAAATCATGGTTACCATCAAATATCATAAAACTAAAATACCTATGTAGTAGACCCAAGGGGTGATTCTTAGTAGTCCAAACAAAATCTCAATGACAACTAATCAAAAAGTTAATACATAGAGTCAAATAGAATTGTGTGTACGTTCAAAGTGTATAAATATATATTTGTGACACTTTGCTTGTAACCAATGAAAGAACAACTTTTCTCTCTTATACTTATCAAGGAACACCTTTCCCTTATAGACATGGCAATTTCATTATGACACGGATCCCTCCAATTCCATTAATGCAATTGTGACATGGCAAATAGTAATGAAAAATCGTACCTTTTATTTTACTTGTATATTGACCCCAAGTTCCTAATTTACCCTTTCTCTTGTAAATCCACACCCTTTCCCTTTCCCATGGACAAAATCCCCCTTCATATCAACCAACAATGCAATCCATCCCCCTAATCCTAATTTTCCATTTATCTACATTATAAGTGACTAATCCAAAAGACTAACTAAAGAATTACTTACACCTAATATGATTTGAATTTGAAACTTTTAGAGAATTATACCCTTGAGGCTCCAACATTCACCACTGAACAACTATTCTCATAGACACACTTACACATCATATCTATTCAATTCACAAAAAATTACACAATTTTGTTTCACGTCACATTTGCTTTATTGACATTAGAGGAGAGTTCCACGTTAAAATTAATATTTAACTGTGTAAAATAATTTTATATTATTATTTAATAGAGATTTATCATTCAGTTCTATCATACAATTAATTTAAAAATAAAAATATTAAAATAATTTGTCAAAATATATGATGATTGATTGGAATGATCTGTCATACAATTAATTTAAAAATAAAAATATTAAAATAATTTGTCAAAATATATGATGATGATTGATTGACAGTGTAAAATATTTTACACTGTGAATACAATTTTTTTCTCTTATTTCTAAATAAATGAATACAAGGGGTCAAAATTGAAATACTTTTAAATACTCTAAGAACATGTGAAAATAGAGAATAACTACTATAATTAAACCTTATATTTCTTTTGAGAAAGAAAAAAAAAACATACTTATTTGGTCATTTGGTGGAGAAATAGATAGCTAAAATTGTAACGTAGGCCTAAACCGTTAAATTGGTAAAGTTAAAATAATTAAACCGTTATATTTGACCAGTGAACTGAATTATATTACATAAACAATTCTAAAACTAAACCATATGTTAAGTAAGTCAAATCAAAATTGGAACCAAACTGAATCGAAAATGAAAAATATTAAAAACAAATTTAAATTCTTTTAAAAAGAATTTAAATTTTTTTTTTTAAAATTTAAAAATAGTTTAGCAAATTAATTCTTTAACAAATAGTTCAATTTGAGAAAAATTATCTTCTAAAAATTCGGTACGGTTCGACATTTTAAAACGCTATATCAAACCAATAATTTTGACTTGATTCAATTTTTAATAAATTAAAACATTTCAGTTCGATTCGAGTAAATTTTTAGCATAATTTGATTTAGTTCGGTTTGATTTTCTCATTAAACCAAACCATGAACCATGAAGAGCCCTAGATACACTCTAAATTTGAGAATTCAGTTAGGTAATAACTTGGTTGTGTGTACCTTTGCTATCCACATGTTAAACGTGTCTGGTCTTAAATTCTTAATACTCCTATCTTTTATAAAAATGAAACAATTTCTAAGTGAATATAAATGTATAAGTCAAACGAGGAATCAAACCATTATGCTATTATTTACACTCTCGATCACTATTATAAGTAACAAAAATCTTTTTAGATTCATTGAATAAATTATGTATCTGAACATTATTATACATCAAATACATCAATTATTTAATGAACCTACAAATTTTAGAACAATTAATGCACTCAAGGTCAATTAAAATTGAGCAAACTTCCAAATACAACAAGACAACATAAGCAAATTTCCGAGTAGTATTCTGAACATTGATAAAAGTATAAGATGTTGCAAGACTCCGCATCATATAGATTCAGAGTATGGAACAATCAACCAAAAAATATTAAAGGAATAGTCAATGTTATTCATTACTCTCGAATTGCTTGACATGAGCTAGGATTGCTAACAAGTCCAAACCCCAATATTGTAGCATATAGTAAAAGCAGCCACCAAAAATGGCAAGGAAGTGCATTTGTTTATTGATACATAATTTAACATCTCAAACTCAATGAAACTCCTCATCTATGGATTCACTTTTGTGGAACATGTACAATCTATGAATCTACTGCATTCCACGCTACCAACCAATTTGTTGTAAATTTTACGTATGTCGGTCCAGTCAATATAACAAACGCCGGAACTTTTGAATGGTTATTGTCAAGTTAGTGACATAAGTGAAGGATCCTCCATCAAAAAATTCTCTGCTAATTAAACCTTAATGTTTTCTTTCCCTAATTTCTCTTGTGTTCTTCTCTTGCTTATTCAGCTTTCAATCTCAAAATTTCCTTACCTGTTCTAAGCCTGAAATAAGGCATATGTTCCTACATATATAATTGTGGAAAGGAAAATCAATTCTGAAACCATATTAAAAAATAGTCATCAAAATGAGGTTTTTGAATATTGACAAGGCATCAAATGCGAGTCCACTGGATCTTGTTTAAACATTCCAACAAGGAAATTTGGTGATAAAATTCATCAATTATTGGTCACACCATGTACGGAAAAAAAACATTTATCCCGTTGCAATATCTTGGCAATAAAATTTAAAATGACAATTATAGTGTTCCTTATGTGACTGGCTTTCCAGATTAACGATTACAGAAAAGGAAAAATATTTATCTATATATTAAACATAAAACAAAGGCATGATTTTCTTAATAGAAATGGAAAGCTCTTTTACCTGATTGAAGCACAGCCTCAAGTTTCTGCTATAAAAGTCGGCATATTTGACCATAAATACCCCGCAATCAGACCTGCTCAAGTATAAAACTACATTTAGAAGATAATTCACTCACAAACTTCTGTAAATACGGTTCAGAGTTAGCATTGGTTCATGATGTTAACAATTAGCATACAATCAAGTTCGGGTGATCAAAAACTCTTACAATAGTAATGATTAACGATGAAAACCATGGTTGCCATCAAAGAACATAAAAACTAAAATACCCATGTAGTAGACCCAAGGGGTGATTCTCAGTAGTCCAAGCGAATCTCAATGACAAATAGTCAAGAAGTTAATACAGAGAGTCAAATAGAGTTGTGTGTAAGTTCAAAGTATAGAAATATATTTGTGACAGTTTGCTTGTAACCAATCAAAAAGCAACTTTTTTCTCTTAGACTTATAAATACCCTTCTTCCCCCTATAGACATGGAAATTTCATTATGACATAGATTCCTCTAATTCCATTAAAGCAATTGTGACCTGGCAGATAGTTATTAAAAAGCATGCGGTTTCTTTTATTTGCATATTGGCTCCTAATTTACCATTTCTCTCATTGTAAACCCTAACCCCTGTTCACATGGACAAACTTCCCCTTCGGATCAGCCAACAATACAATCCCCCTAATCCTAATTTTCCATTCATCTTTTCGTAAACCCTAACAAATTCACACTAAATTCACACAATCGCAATATTTGAGGGACCAAAAGTTGGAATTAAGTCAAACAAATTATACATGGGAAGCATTTTGAGTCAATGCTATAAACTTTATGTGCAGTGGGAATTTTTGCTTGATTTTTTATTTCAGAAGTTTTTTCCTCATTTTTAAAGATCAGGAAAAATAATCAAATAAACATTGATCTCATAAAGTGATTCACAAAAGAGTAAATTACAAACCCATTCTGCTGTTCAGGAAGCTCTTCAACAAACTCTTTTTCCCAATTACTTATGTCAATATCTTCTCCAGTCTTGTCCTTTACTTCATCTACAAAATATCTTGCCTGGGAAACATTAAAAATAATCATTACACGTTGCAACAGCCAAAAAAAATGCTTATATAATTGTATTTACAATGTCTAAATGAATCACTCTAAGTGTCAAATGATCAAATTCAAATACTACATTTAAAGTGAACTCTCTTACACAGAAAGTTCACGCAACAATCATAATTTATTTCCTAATTAAGTGGCTCTCTTATTCCATAAGTATTTCTTGATTTATCTGTTAACAAGATACTTTTTAAGAAAATCATAGATTGTACTGATTTCGATAATAAGATGAGTTTCATTAATAAAATAAAATACCCTTAGTAATTAAGTAGTTAGTTGAGTACTTATATTGATTGAGAGACAACAAATATGGGTATTAGTGGAAAAACGTAATTAATGGTTCATTGGTAACTTGGTATATTCTAGATGAAAAATTATAAGACAAGAAAATATTCCAAACAAGACACTTACTATGAGACAGGGAGTAAACTACAAGCCAAGAATATTACCAGCACTTCCAGCACTTGGGTATCAATTCCTTTCAATGAATCAAGATACTGAAACTTCTTTTCCTTCTTATTGATAACAGCTAGGCACCAATGGATCTTCTGGTGAATAGGTACAAATATCTGGGTACGACAACAAGTCGGCAACAAATCAGCAGAAGAGCTAATTGGTCATAAGAAAAACAAAATTTGAAAATGTGTTTCACAATAATTACTTTATCACATTCATGTAGGCCGTATCCCAATTTCTTCCGAGTAGTCCATCTCTTCACAGATTTGTAATCATAACAATTCTTGCCACTTATTAACTGGTTTATTGGCAAATAATTCAACATTACAAGCATCAATGACAGGACAACATGACTAAATCACAGAAAATTTCCAGAAAATATTTATCAACAGTGTGTTAATTTCCATGAAAGCTGAAAAAAGATTTACAAAACATGTCCCAAAGTTCAATGTATAAGGGCAATAAGAAGACACTACCTTCTTATAGAAAAAGGTGTTGAAAAAATGACAATTCAGAAACTTCTGTGGCTCTCTTCTCTCCCTCTCTTTCAGTAACTCAAGGTACAAATTTATCACCTGCAAAGGTAAGGCACAAGATAACTGAATTTCATGCTGCAACAATTTCAAATCATTGTATAATGGAAAACCAAATCCTCCATTGAAATTTAACAAACGTTAAACAAACAATAAGCAAACAAGATTAGCACATCACCTCATCATTAAGCCATCCACTTGGCCTAAGACACTGAAACTTTTCGCCCGATATTTCAATATTAGAATTCTCATGAGCAACCAGGATCTTCTTCCTGTAAAAACATGCCTTCAGTCAGATATGTTACAACTAAAACTTTCATAACTAGCACATAGCCAAATTTTCAAAGCATACCTATTGGCCGAAAAGGCTCGTGCAACCTCAACTTCTTCCTCTTTTGTAAGAGGAACAAAAGGTTCCGGCGGCACTTCCTGAAAGCCATAGTAAGACTTTGTCAATTACAAACATATTTGGAATGTTTCTTATGCCTTAATAAAAGTGGCATTTACAGAGATACATATACACAAGCATATATCTATGCATACATATACATAAATGTATACATTATCTATGTGTGTTGACAGTTTAATAAGTTTTTACCTCTACTAGTTCTTTCTTTGGACGCAACAAATCAAATCCAGATCTGCGCTTCTCGTTAAGCTGAATTTCAAATCTCAACCTACCAAGTGTATCTGTTCGCTTATCGACAGCCTCAAGCAACTTCTTGTAAGCACTAACACTCGAAACATCATTTTCCGGATCCAAAGACAAAGAATCCAAAATATTTGCAGCATCATCCACCACATTCAACTTATCATTACTCAACTCAGAAACCGAAGTTGACTGTTTCTGTATGCCACCATTCACAGCCTCAACCTCAGTATCCACTGGCTCAGCGTGCACTTCTTGTACATCTTCATGGTTCGAATCTTCTGAAACAACTTCCTTATGATTATCCTTTTCTTTTCCCTGTAAAGGAATGGTAGCCAATGCCGGAGATTTTGTACGCTGATAATTTTCAAATAAGGCGTTGCTGATACCGATACCACTAACCACCGAGTTCGAGGATTCTAGTTTAAAATTGTTTGATAAATCGAATTTGCGCGGTCTGCTGCAAGGAGCATGAACTTCTCTACGCAAAGGTGGTTTAGTTTCAGGATAACGAGAAATTCTGGAAACAACGGAGGCATTGGTTGCGGTGGTGGGTAATGGTGATGGCTTATTGTGGGACATGGTTGATACTTTCTGTCTTTTGAACTCTGAAGAACTGGGGGATGAACGGTTGTGATTAACGGAGAGCCACCGGTAGGGGCGTTTGCCGGTGATGGTTGTTATGATAGCCATTGAGGTGTTATTGAAAACGCAGAGTCCATAAGAATTGGGAAATTTGAGAAAAGAAAACCCTAGAGAGAAAGTGAAATAAAGAGGAAGATAAACAACACCATGGCGTTTTTCAAGAAGTGGAAACCTGGATCTGGAAGAAAAAGTAATGGAGATTGAGAAATGAGAGAAATGAAATTGCGTTCCCGCCGTGAAATTCAAACGAAGCTGCTGAAGACTGTGTTGTGTTTAGTGTAATGTTGATTAACGGCATAACCAGCTTAGTTCCACTTAGAGCAGTTGGGGGTAAACTAAATGGGTAAACTAAGATATTTTTTATGGGTCCAAAGTGATTTGTAGGATTTAAAAAATTTATAGTTGATTTGAGTAGTTTTTACTTTAATGGTGGTTGTCTATAAGAAAGTAAAACTTGACCCCACATTTTATATTTTTTATTCAAATTATTATTAATTTAATTATTTTAATTAAAGTACATATAATTTTTTAAATAAAATTTACCTTAAAAACTTAAAAATAATATTAAATATATTTTATTATAAAATTAAAAATAATACAAAATTCACAACAATAATATATAAAAAAAATTACATTTTCATAGGAATATAATTATAATAAGGATTTGATTGGTTGGAATCTATTTGATAAATAAATAAGATTGGAAATTGAAAGAAAAAAATTTAGAAGTAAAACTGTGGGTAAAAAAATTATATAAAAATTTATAGAAGGTAAAAAATGATAATACGACCGTTACTATTTTCAAATATCATACCCTTACTTTAATGTTGTTGGAATATTTTTGGAATATTTTATTAATATTAAATAATATTATAATAGGTTTCACATGAATAGTTAACGTTAACTATATAGATAATGTGAACTAAATTTTAGTTCATTTGGATGCCATGTCAGCTCTCCTATAATACAAATTCCTTATTACTAACGTAAGCTATAAAGAATTTTGGTTTAACAACCCTGCGTTAAAGTTGCTCTTACAAAGCCTTGTGTACTGAATTGTGATCGGGGCTTTTGGTTTCGTTGTAAATACATTAAAATAAAGAAAAAATATTGTCTAAATCCTTTAAGTTATTTTAAATTATTAAGTTAGTTTTTTAAATTTTATTTTAACGCTTTAATCTTTTATGTTAAGTAATGTGTGTTATTGATCTTTTTTAAAATCTCTGGTATAATAAATTGCAAACTCATATACTATTTGAATTGATTTTTCGCGATGATAACGAATATGCAATCAAATTTATCAAACAAGTTATAATTCATGAGAATTAGAGAGAAAATAAACAAATACATAAAGAAAAATTGTTCGATCCGACTAAAATACACAACGCAAAATTAATTACATATTCATGATCAGCGCGAAAAACCAATTCAAATGGTACATGAGTTTGCAATTTATTATAACGAAAATTTTTAAAAAAGTCAACGATGCAAATGTTACTTAACATAAATGACCAAAGCGTTACAAAAAATACTTAAATAACTAACTTGATATTTTAAAATAACCTAAAGGACTAAAACAGTATTTTTATCATAAAATAATATATATTAAATTAAATAATTATAATGATAAAGAAAGAAAACTATAAGGACAATATCCCCATTTAGAAATGAAAAAAAGTGATGCTAGTAAAAATTTATTTTTACAGTGAATCAATAATGATCATTTATCTTGTTAAGTGATGTTGAAAATTTTAAACTAGTTATATAATATAGTATAATATATATTTTTATTGGATAACAGTGTAAAACATTTTTACATTATCAATGCATAATAATTAAACTTTTTAGAAATTTTAAAAAAACTATTATTTTATATTGGAAAATGACGGATTCTTTTTATAAACTTATGTTTTTATTTTGAGTTAAATATATTTTTAGTCCCTATAAATATGTCAACTTTCAAGTTTAGCCCCTTTAAAAATTTTCTTTAAATAATAGTTTTCATAAAGTTTTTCATCTTTAAATGTGGTATCTCTTGTTAGTTTCCACTAACAGATGCTTATGTGGCATACCAAGTTTAAAATTTGTTTAGGTTACGTGTGATATGTAATATGCCAATTTGCCATGGTGGAATTGCTGATAACGTTATGCTCATAATTGAGATAATGAAACACAGCACAAAAATTTCACATGAGTGTGCCCTAGCAGAAGAAGTCATTGTTGTTGTTAAGGAGGTGTGTTGTGGTCAAGGAACAAGAAACAAGTCTTCGTTGTGTTCAAAGAAATTTTCATTTGCAGTGGTCCTAAAGCAACTTCGTAAGCATCCTCGTTGCAGTGGTCCCAAAAACAACTTCTTAAGTATTTAAAGTGGTCTCAGGTAATGTACTTTGTCACTTTTTTGTTCCCTCGTTTCTTAATGTATGTCATCTTCGTTTCTTTTTTAGTGGTCCCGGTTTATTTAATATGTTGCATCTTATTAACATTCGTATAAAATGTTATATTTTGGTAAATCTGTTTGATCTAATTTTGGTGTTAAATTTAGAAAAAATTAGGGTATATCTGTTTGACAAAGTTATGGTAAATTTTAAACCTAGGTTAAATATTGTGAATAGGAAAATGGATAAGTTCAAGATTGTACTTTACTCAAAGGGTTATTTTACAAAAGACCCTAACATAAGATACGAGGGAGGGGAAATATATGCTTTTAGTGGTCAAGATCCCGATTATTGGTCTTTCTTTGAAGCATGTGACTTAGTTAAGTTGATTGAACCTGAGTTTTAAATAAGTTGTGTTAAGATGTGGTGGAAACATGATGAATGATCCTTTGAACAAGACTTAAAACCATATAGGGATGATGGAGATGATTATGAGTTTGCCATGTATGTTGTAGGAATTAAGTGTGAGGTTGAGATATTATGTGAGACTAAAGTTACAAGAGAGGATTCCTTTATGGATTGAGTGAAGCTAGTGATGATTTTAGTGATGAATCTGTAAGAGGTGTCCACTTTGATGAAAGGGTTTGATGAAGTGTTTGATTAGGGGGTTGATGGAGAACCAAAAAATGAACCTGTTGCAAATGATGGGGGTCCTACTCAACTAGACAAGAAGATTTTTATCACATAAGAGATGAGTAAGGAACATGTCATTGAAGATTCATACATGACTGATAAACTAGATAGTGGTGGTGATGATGACAGTTGTGATGAAAGGTCACGTGTAATCAAGTTTAATGAAGAAGATTCTTTAGGTAAGGATTTTGGTTTCAATGTTGGAATGAAGTTTTCTTCATTCAGACAATTCAAAGATGCTATCTTAGAGCATAATATTTTGAGTGGTAGGGATGTTAAGTTTGAGAAAAATAATGCTAACAGATGTAGGGTGGTATGTAAGGACAAGAAAAAATGTGACTGTACAATCTTATGTGGTAGAGTTTTAACCTCCACCACATTTAGGGTTAAAACATTGTTCTCAAAGCACAAATGTGGAAGACAATTCTTCAACAAAAATGCTAAAACGGAGTGGGTTGACAAAGTCATTATTGATGGATTAAAGAATAACTCAAGGATGAGGTTAAGTGAGGTGGTAGCAGATGTTAGACAAAGGTATGCCACAAAAATTCCAGGATATAGAGCATTCAAGGCAAGATAAATTGCAAGACACTTGGTTGAAGGAGACTCTAGCAAATAGTTTATCCTTCTATGGTCTTATGGTGCTGAGTTGAGAATTGCTTTGGCTGGTTACTTTCAAAATCAACACTAGTGTTCCAAGTCCTGGTTTGAAACCTAAATTTGAGGTGTTATATGTGGTTTGATGGGACTAAAAAAGCTTTGAAAAAAGCATGCAGACCTTTCATTGGCTTAGATGGATGCCATTTGAAACACAAGTATGGTGGTATTTTACTGATTGTTATTGGGAGAGACCCTGATGACCAATATTTGCCTATTGCTTTTGTTGTGGTTGAGACTGAAACAAAAGATTCATGGAATTGGTTTCTCAAATTGCTTATCGAAGATATAGAAGATAGCAAACGGTGTTTCATATCTGACCAATAAAACGTAAGCTTGAATTTCATCAAACTTTGTACAAATGCAGTTTTTATTTTTTTATACACTTGATTGTACTAATGCAATTGTTATATTCTTGGAATAGGGACTAGTTCTGGTTTTTGAAGAGGAGTACCCAGGCTATGAACACATGTTCTGTTTAAGGCACTTATATGCTAACTTCAAAAAGAAGTTTGGAGGAGGATCATTGTTTTGGGATCTTATGATGGTTGCTGCAAAGGCAACTTATTTTGAGGCAGATGAGGCAAGGGTGCTTATGATCAAGGAGATCAGTTTGGAGGCTAATGAGGTGGTTAGAGGCAATTCCCAAAATAAAGCGGTGTAAGCATGTTTTTCCTTTTTTCTCAAAGTGTGATATGTTAATGAACAACTTAAGTGAGTCTTTTAATGCAATAATTCTTTTAAAAAGAGATAGACCAATAATAACCATGTTTGAGTGGATTAGGAATTATCTAATGGGAGGGTTTGCAACCCTTAAAGAAAAGGTAAATGGTTATAAGGGGCAGATAATGACCAAACCATTAAGGAGATTAGATACAAAAATTGAAAAAAGTGCTAGTTGGACAACAACTTATGCTGGTAGGTTAACCTTTCAAGTCACACATGTACTATTTACTGATAGCTTTATAGTGGATTTAGAAAAACAAACATGCTCCTGCAACTATTAGGAACATGTAGACATGGTGTGGCAGCCATACATAGAAAAATGGATGACCCAGTAAAATATGTGCGTAAGTGTTATCACAAAAGCATATATGAAAAATGTTACAGTGAAGATATCACTCCATTAAATAGCCATAACAAATGGCCTAGAACATCTAATGAAACTATGTTACCCCCTTTGTTCAAACGTGGCCCAGAGAAGCCTAAGAAACTTAGAAGGAGAAAGCCTGATGAAATGAACCAAACAAAATGACATAGAAAAAATACAAGTCATAGGTGCAAAGCCTGTTTCAAACTAGGCCACAACAAAAGGACTTGCAAGAAGAATAAGAAACTCGTGCTTATTCCCTCTAGAAATACCACCCAGGCTAGTCAAGGGATGCCTACACAGGTGACTCAGGACTTGTCTACACAAGTAACTCATGAGATGCCTACACAAGCAAGTCAGACTAGCCAGGTCAATTTGGCACCCAAAAAAAGGGTAATGTTCTACTTAAATAGTATGCTTGTGTGTAATAAATTATAAGACTCAATAAAAAATTTAATGTTGTGTTTGTTTCATGCAGGGGAGGCCTAAGGGATCTACCAATAATGGTATAACTAAGGGTGGAACAAAGAAGACAAAAGTTAAGGAACCAAAGAAAACAAAAGTCACTGAAGCAACTGTCAAGGAGGCAAAAGCCAAAGAAGCAAATCTCAAATATTAAACTGTCAAGGAAGAACCTGTCAAGGAAGCAACTTTGCCAAATGTAAGTGTCACTGAGCCAAATGTGACTGAGCCAACTGTCATGGAAGGAAATGTCACTGAGCCAATGGTAATTGAGATAACTGTCAAGGAAGGAAATGTGACTGAGCCAATGGTAACTGAGCCAACTGTCAATGAAAGAAATGTGACAGAGCCAATGGTAACTGGGCCAACTGTCAAGGAAGGAAATGTGACTAAACCAATAGTAAATAAGCCAACTATCAAGGACCAACCTACACATTCTTCATGTTTAGATGAAACTTTGGCTGCATTATTAGGGGGTGATGATGTCTTGGACATTCAATCTTTAAGTGTTGACAAATCACCTCTCAAGACAACTAAACCAAGGCCAAGTGATGTCAAGGTTTTCTTTGGTAAGCAACCCAAAGTGTGCAGGAAAAAACCTTTCAAACCACATGGTATTAGAACAAATATTTCAAGGCCAAGCTGCAGTGAACCAGTCAGATTTAAAACCCATAGCAAGTACAAGACACAAACTGACATTGCAGCTGAAAAAGGGCATAGTGAAAGGCTGAGGGCCTTGAAAACAAAGAACATACCCGGACCTGGAAAGAAACCTGATGATCCATTGGTTATAACTGAAGAGGACATCATAATCGTTAAGGGTATAACCCAGTGAAGATGTAGTGTTTGATGTAACTGATATTTTTCTTAATGTATCTCTTTAAGAACAACTATTTTGTTGAATGTACCTCTTTAGGAACAACTATTTTGATGTTTTGTTGAATGTACTATTTTGTTATCCTATGTTTGGGCGAATGTAATATACTGATGTGTTATTTTGAACAAATTATGCTATGCTAATGTAATGTACTAATGTAACGACTATTTTGTGAAATTTGTGTGAATTTCAATGTGAAAATTATAGGTAACCTTGTGTGAAAATTATAGTTCATATTATGCCAAAATTATAGGTCACTTAATGTCAATATTATAAGTCAGTTTATATCAAAATTTTAGGTCACCTTGTGTGCAAAATTACACATCATACTATGTCAACATTATACATTACACTATGTCTAATTTATAGGTCAGATTGTGTGAATATTATAGGCCATATTGTGTGGATATTAAAGGTCATAACTGAACCAAATCTTTTTAAACCAAATCATATGCCATACCAATTGAACATTACAAAAACAATTATACCAAATTATAGTTCATACCAGTTTAACATTACAAAACTAATGAGATAACATTACAAACAAAGATCAATTCAACATTTACACCTAATTAACAAATACATGTTGACTAAGAATGAAACTACAACACAAATTGTCTCTAGCTTTCACCAAAATGCCTTTGTCTTGATCTCCATCTCCAAACTCTTATTCTTCTTCATTGATGATTCATAAAGTTCTCTAGAACTTGCATATCCCTCACCTTACTCTCATCTTTGCTCTATTCTACATCTACACATTGATGATCATTATTTCCTTGTGCAATTTCATCATCCCAAATGAACAAATTTCAAGTGCACTCATTTTTCTAATATAGGCATCTCCAAAATATTATACCTTTATTCTGTTCGTTCTTGCACATGTATGAAATCATATGACCATTGCATCCATACTGTTTCACTTCACGGTTCTTCACACTCGTGGAATGGTACAACACAGACTTCCTTAACCTTGATGAAGATGACATGATGTTAGAGAGGGAGGAGGGAGACGAATAATAAGAATAATAATAAGATCAGAAGAAGGTGAACGGTGGAAGGATACAAAGGATACAATCAGATGAGGGATACGGTGAAATAACAAGAAGAATGAGATTAGGGTTCCCCTGCGTTTGGGGCTTCGTTTTATTAAAAAAATTATTATTTTAAAATAAATCTGGCGTGGGCATGAAAATTACACACTTGACATGGCACATAAGCCTCTATTAGTGGAAACTAATGGAAGGGACCACATATAGGGACGTAAAACTTTGTGAGGACCATTGTTTGAAGTAAAATTTTAGAAGGACTAAACTTGAAAGTTGGCATATTTATAGGGACCTCAGACATATTTAACCCTTTCATTTTTTTTAAGAATATGAGTTTTTAGGGCCTTTTAAAAATGGAACTATTCTATAAAAAATTACTTCTTTTTATTAATAGAAGTGATACCAAAGTTTTTTCTAGTAACATAATGGAAAGACTATTGTATTTAAAAAAAGTATATTACGTGACAACCATAGCGGTGTAAGATTGTCAGAGGTTTTAGGGTAGTTATAGATATTAGAGCAAACTCACACATGCAAGATGAGAAGCTTGGTATGTAGTGTTTTTCGTCACTAATTGGATTTGTCTTCAACCTCGGGGTGGAGGTATTTATAAGAACCTCGTAGGCAAGAGTCTCAGATTCCAAGAAGATAGGTTTTACATTTTCCATTCTCAAAAGCATGGAAAATGGGTAGTTATTTCTCCTATTTCTTTAGGTAGCATAGCTACTTTCATTTGACTATTTCCTTGAGTTAAAAATGAGCTAAATATGAAGAAACATGAATAAAGTGAAGAAGTCAAAGAAACTAAGAAAAATCATGAAACCGTGAAGAAATTATGAAGAAACGAGTATTTTTCAGCATAATTTAATTACATCATGATGTTTGTCTAATAATTTGATCATATATGGAATTCCATAAATCGTTTTGAGATGGGTTTTTTTGCAAAAGAAAGCTAAAAAGGAAATCTACATTCTAAAATAATCACGTGTGTGATGGAAAGTATCATGTGCGTGATCGATGGAAAGCAATCACGCGCGTGATAAATATGTTTTCTAAACTTTTATGATGCATACTGACAACTTTAAAAGGGGATTTTTGCCACTTTTTCCAGTGTTCTGATTTGGAGATAGAAAGTGACGATAAAGAGCATTAGGGGAGCGATTTTGGAAGCATTGGAAGTCATTGGAGGCCAGTTTCTTTAAGGATTTTTATATGTAATCTTCATCTTATATCTTGGTATCTATTTGTGTCATTATGAGTTGCCAAACTTCCCTATGTCAGATTTTGTATGATTAAATTATTTTGAACCTATTGGGAGATATGTTTAATATGTCCATGCATGAATAACTGAAGTTATATTTATATTTAATTATCTCTTATGCTTAATCATTTTCATGTGAGATACTTTTTTAATTTGATTTTGGGCGCATAGGGAATACGAGCATTAGTTTATATGTTGGAGCTAGGATAATTATTGTACTTATGATGGTTGAATAGTGGCATTTGAGTTAACGTGTTATTGCATTGCCTAATGTCACTTACGTTGGTTGAATAAGGATTTAAGACCTTTCGTAGGAATTAGTGAGCTATACACCAAGGAATTGAGTATAATAATTTTGTTAATTCTTCGTGGAAATATAGCAACTTTCTCATTCATGTAACAGATTAAACATCAACATGGGATAAATAAATGATTCTATACAAAACATGACTACTTTTGCATTATTTCAGAACCACTTTTACTTCTTGCTAAAACCATTTGAAAACTCCCCATTTGTATTTTTAATTCGCATAAGTTTTATCTTGTTAAATCATAATCCTCGTGGAAATGATATCTTTTTATATTACTTTGACACTATCGATACACTTGCTAAGAAGTCATCAAGTTTTTGACGTTGTTGTCGGGGATTGCAAATTTCAACAAGATAATTTTTGTGCGAAACTTGTTAGGTTTAGTTTTTATTTTATTTGTTTAATTTGTTTTGATTTATTTTATTTTAATTTTTATTCTAGATTTATATATAATTTTTTTAAGATTAAATTTGATTTGTTTTTGTTTTTATTTCTTTTTAATGTTTTTTTTGTTTAATGTTTTTTATCTGGTGCAATGTTACTAAAGTATTCTTCTTTTTTTGTTGTAGGCGAAGTGAAGATAGACATGCAAGATGAAATTTATGCTAATTTGGCAAAGTTTGAAGCTTATTCAAAGGAAATTGCAGCAAAAACTCTAATTCAAAAAAATAAGAGAAATTATTCAGAGACAGAACCTTACATCAACACTGATCATTAACGGGAGGAGGATTCATCATCCCAACTTAAAAAAACCTTGACCCAATTTATAAAGATTACTAAACTCAATTTCGAGAAAATCAACATGCATCAAGAAACCGTGCGAAGTGACATGGAAACATACTTTACGAATTTAGAGATGCAACTTGGTCAAGTATCTAGCTAATTAGCATTAAAACTGAGATCTAGTGGGATGAAAATATGTTAGATAGTTCTAGAGATGCGGAAATTTAAATCGAAGTCAAATAGGAATGTGAGGTAATCGATGAAGGAGGAGTTGAAAAAGAGAAAGAAGAAGAAAAATGCACACCATCTGATAAAGAAATAGAGGCAAGAATAGAAGAAGCGGAAGTGAAAACTGTAAGTGGGAAAAGAACAAGAATTCAATATGAAGATTATATAGTTTTATATAAAGCTCTAAATTCAAATTCGTTTAGACGTAGATGTCCAACAACAAAATCTTCAACAAAAGAATATTAACATTTCTAGCAAAAAGTTTGATGAAAGAGGAGAAATAAATGAAGCATTGGATGAGATTTATGCCTTGTTCAATATTATCAAGCTGAAGAGAATATAGAAGAAAAACCTTAAATTCCTCAAAGTAATGGATTTCCTACCAAATAAGAGGAAGAAAAACCTTAATGGGAGGCAACCCATTAAATAAATTTTTATTTTATTTGCAATTTTAAATTTTATGTTATTTCAATTAATCATTTTTATTTTGTAGCATGTGACATTAAGGAGAAATATGACAAAGACTTGAGAAAGCGATTGAAAGAAGAAAAAGAGAATAAAAATTCTCTCAAATCCTAATTTTTATCTCTAATCTCTTTGCACTTTCTTGTGTTGTTGTTATTGTTTTAGATAATGGGTCCAAAACGAAACCACTCATCTCAAGCATCAACATCAATTCGACGATGGCAAAGTCGACCAAACAAAACCAAG